AGTGATGGAAGCATGGATGGGGAGAATGAGCCCCAGACTGCCAGCGTGGTCTCTATAATAGTCCCAGGTCTGAAGACTGTTCATGACCCTGTAAGTTTTCCATTTTTTACGGAGGAGGAACTCGCGGGACTGATGAAGGAACCCACGTATAAAAATCCTACTGGAATAAGGGCTGTGAAGAACATTATCAGGAAATCCAGAGGTACAGAAATTGGAATGGTCAGCTTATTGGTCAGGCTGATCTATGAAGCCAGCGTGCGACTCTCTACGTTAAATTCAAGGTGGGAAAAGTAACACGAACGCTTAGGTTCATTTCATGGAACATCCGGAGTGTTAATCGCAGAATTAATGATCTACAATGGTTTGTTAAAGTTTTTGACATTGATGTAATTGGTTTACAAGAACCTTACACGTCCAGCACCCAGAAGAAAGTTGCACCCAGGATAGCTGGGTTTACAGCATATAATAGTGGAGCAGGAAGTGGCCTGCTCACTTATGTAAAGAATGGTCTGGTCTGTAAATGGATTAAAACTCACAATGATGAAAGTATTCACTATCAACAATTTACAGTAAAGACAGCAAACAGTCAATTTTCGCTGTATAACATCTATGTTCGGTGTAATGAACTGCGAGCGGACGTGTTACCAAAGCCATCAGGTAACAATGCTATGCTGTGTATGGGTGACTTTAACTCTCGTCACACTGTCCTCGGTGATGTCCAGTGTAACTCTAATGGGAGGGTGTTCGTGAATTACATCAATAATCATAATATCACTGTATACGACACAGACAAAGTGACACATCTGATGGGGGGCAGACTTGATTATGTGATTGGGTATAACCTAGTAGACAGTAATGTCAAGGCTAAGTCATCTCAGACCACCTAGTCAGTGATCATTATGCAATACTTACTGAATACACTGTTGCTGATGTCAAGTGTGAACCCCATCCTAAGCTCAGAATTAACATCCCAGATAATCTTAAACTGCACTTCAAGGCCTACATCCACAGATGGTATGCTGGATATACACCTGGGTCAGTGGATGAATTTTGCTGTGATCTTGTAAATGTCATTACCACATATTATACCACCTGGGTTAAGTCAAGGAGGACGGGGGGCAGCACTAAACCACCTCTGTGGACACATGACCCCATCCTCACCAAGGAACGAGAGAATGTAAAACAGCTTGCCAACACTTATAAGCAAAATAAAACTAGTGATAACCTCTTGGCATTCCTCAAAGTTAACAGAGAATTTCGTGAACTCAAAGGTCAGGTGAGAAACACCTATTGGGAACAATTCTTACAGGGAATTAATAGAACAACCACTCTAGCAGAAATGTGGAACAAAATTAGAGCCATTACCAAGTCACCCACCCCAGTCAAGCTTCATCACAGCCCTGCAGAATATGCTGACATGCTATTAGACCAATGGTCTAGTGTGTCACAAATCACTTCCCTGCCTCCTGACATACAACAATATCTTAACACCTCACAAATTAATAGGGGTTTCAATATTGAAATAGCCTGTTCCTCACCAGACCTTACCGACCAGTTTCCTATAACGCACCACGAACTAACAACAGCACTAATAAATGGTGAGTCATCCTCCCCTGGTGAGGATGGCATAACCTATATCACCCTGAGATTGTTGAATGAGATCCCTAACCATCCACTGCTTGACCTGTATCAAATGAGCCTCACACAGGGTATTCTGCCTAAGACATGGACTCATGGAAGCATAGTTCCAATCCCTAAAGCTAATTCTCCAAACTTCAGGCAAATTTCACTTACATCCTGTATGTGTAAAGTCCTTGAAAGAGTTGTTCTAAACCGTCTCATGTTTCAAGTCAAAGACAAACTCGCCCCTAATCTGTATGGGTTCATGCCCAGGCGTAGCACACAGACATGCTTTGCAGAATATCTTGTTCACTCAAAAGATAAGACACAAACAGCCTTCATAGACCTTAAATCAGCCTTTGATGTAGCTAATAGAGACATTATACTTGGGCAACTAGCTAATTTTGGCATCCAAGGTAACCTCCTGACATGGATAAAGGGTTATCTGTCCAACAGGTATGCCAGTGTTCTGTTTAGGGGAGTTAAAAGTACCAGAATGAGATAATTTGAGCTGGGCACACCTCAGGGAGGAGTGTTAAGTCCTGTGCTCTTTAATATACTGATGCACAAGCTTATTGCTGACATTCCAGTTCAGCCAAACGAAGCCGTAATATGCTATGCTGATGATATCTGCATTATGACACAAACCAAACTCAGGCTCCAAGCCTTGCTGGATGTATTTGCTCGGAGAACTGTTGAATGCTGTCTCATAATATCTGTTGACAAGACGAGGGTCCTCAATCCTCGTCCTGCTCACCCTCTGCCTCTTGACTATAACATTAACAGCATGCCCTTGGAACTATGTAGCTCCTATAAATATCTTGGAATTTGTGTGAATGATGCAAACTTTGTCAGCAACCTTCGTGACAAACTAATGCAGCGCATTAAACCCCTCAGAACCCTTGTTGGCAAGGGCTATGGAATTAACATCACCTATGCTCGTACTTTCTATCTTCACTTCATTCGTTCTGTACTGTAGTTGACTATCATGCTCTCCATCTTGTGACTATTCCGCCTAAACAACTCAACAGCCTTGAGGTAGTGCAAAATGAAGCCATGCGCATCATCCTAGGTTGCCCAAAATCAACCAGAATTGTAAACATGAGGAAAGAGCTCGGACTGCCCTCCCTATATGAGAGGATAACTCTACTTAATACTGTACCATGTTTTGTGTCAAAGTTTTGAAGAACAATTGTTCTCAAACTACAGCTCAAACTGAGTTGATGTGCTATCTAAGTAATCCCGACCATCTTGCCAACCTTCCACAAAAGACTCTCTTTGGGGCGTGGCTTCATAAAAGTGTTGCAGATCTCTTGAAACTGAATGTCCCAATCACCCCAGACGAACCTATTAATGCCATTCCTCCTTGGCTGGACATATCAGTTCCTATTAATTACACTCCTGTTGGTAGTAAGCAAATGTTAAACACCGATGTGGTGAGATGTGTCACACTAGAAACTATTAACAGACACATAAAGAGTATTAAATCAAGTGAATGTTATGCTTTTACTGATGGTTCTGTGCAGACAAACACAGGTAGAACAGGCTGTGCAATTGTAATATATAAAGAAAAAGAGATGATAGTGTCAAACAAACAAAGGCTGAACAACTGGGCCAGCACAACACAAACTGAACTAACTGGAATCTACTTAGCCACAGACTACCTCAAAGAAAATGGAGGTGGGGTGATATTCTGTGACTCTCAAAGTGCTTTGAAATCAATGAACAGCCCGTCAGGCTCTATGTCTAAAGTTGTATGTGATATTAAAAGGAATGTGATAACTGCCAATGAGAACAACTTTCATATCGAATTTGTGTGGATTCCGTCCCATGTTGGAATCAGGTATCATGACCGTGCTGATAGACTGGCCAATGAGGCATGTAAGAAAGAAAATGTTGACCGAGACCTTGGCCTGTCCAATGCTGTAATTAAAAACATTCAAGTCAGAATCATGAACTCTGATCTAGAAGAAGTGAGAAATGCAGAGACCTGACAGTTGTAGCATTAGTAAATATGACAAATTTTGTAACAAGAGGTACCGGTATGGCCAGCATAAGGACAGAACCAGACAATGTGATGTAGTCGTGGCCAGAATTAGGCTAGGATACAGACACATCTGGCAAGTTAGTAACGCTGTACCCATACTGGAACACTCAGCATGTAAACTTTGTGATAAACCTTTAAAGCATACACTTGAACACTATATTATTGAATGTGACACTGTCAAAGACTTCAGGCCACCTGACTTATTGTATCTTGAACTATGTAATTACTTCATTCAATCAGGTGTGCTTGAGGACATTCTTGCTGTTTATCCCAAATTTGCTAGCCCACACTGATTAGTCTTCAATTAGAATATGACTTCAATGTATGTGATCCACTGACCTATATATAGTGTCAATGAATATGATGCATTCTTTGTGTACGAACCTCTGTCGTGTATGGCAGTGAAAAGTGACATTACCCACATGAATCTGACCGACGTATATGTATGTATGTGTGCGTGTGTATATATATGTACATGTACATGTATATGTGTATGTATATGTATGTATATGTGTGTGTGTGTGTGTGTGTGTTTACATATATGTACTGTATATGTACTGTCAATGAATATGATGCATCTCTTTGTGTACGAACCTCTGTCCTGCATGGCAGTGAACAGTGACATTACCCATATGAATCTGACCTTTATACATTTATAGCTGTTAATGAATATGATGTATTTCTTTGTGTATGAACCTCTGTCCTGCATAGCAGTAAGAAGTGATACCACCCTCAGTGTCAAGACATGACTGAATTACTCAGAATAGGCAAACTGTACTACAAGCTCTGCCAATAAATTTGTTAAACTAAAACTCCCTCCCTCTCAGCCAGGGTGAAGGTAGTTTTAGGCTTAAAGTTTTTATCTTATAAAATGTAGCTGACTATAAAGTGCATTGGTGGAATCCTTGTAAGAGAGTGATTAATTTGAGTATAAACATCCCATAGTTTGCACGAGATAAAAATTTTTAGTTTAGTGTAGTACATTTGAGTACAAATTGTGTACAGTAATGTTGCTTAAAATTATGGCTTTTTCACATTTAATTTACATTTAGTATTTGTTTAGTTTAAGTTTCTAGCAGTTCATGGTGCTTTAGAGACACAGGAGGAGTATAATTAGTGGCTCAGAGGTGTATTGTTGAATTATTATTACCTGACCTCGGTTGGTCCGGCAAAACGGATAATCAGGCAAGGCTTTGGAACCAAGGGTACCGGAAATTCGGTGGTGTACTTGTATCACTTTTCTCAAATACATGGAATTGATTAGGAGTGTAAATGCTTCACCAAACTGTGATAGGAATTTCATAACAATGTTTTTGTTTTGTGTTTCATTCAGAGTTAGTGTCCATAAAGCTCTGTGCGACAACATCGACACAAGAACAGCACTAGATCATATACGGGACCTCATTACAGAAGCCAACAAGTACATGAACAACAATGTTAAGGTAAAGTAAAATATCTCATAGCTGTTTACTGAAGAAGTTATTGAAGATATAATGGGCTGATAGACATACATATAGGTAATTAGATTAATGGTTTAATTTATTGATAGTAAAATGTTTTATAAAGTTTACCATCTTCCTTATTATTTTGATAAATGTTTTAAATGGAAGTGATTCATAGCATTTTATTTCCAAAGTTTAAGTATTAAAGTAAACTGTAGGTATAGGTAATTTTCTGTGAATGTATGTAAAGTAGTTCATCACTAGTTTTTTTCACTTTCATTATTAACTTCGACATACCACATTCTCTTTCAAAATCGTATAACTTCACCTTCGGTATCACTAACCAGAGCAGGGTTATGTACAAGGAGTCTAATATTTCACCATCTTCCTAAGAACACATGTTGATTCTACATGAATACAATGCCTTAACTCTCATAAGCGTGTCTTTGGTGATCTTGTTAAATTGAGATCTTATGTTCTGCTTTAAATATTTAATGGTTCTTTGACGATCTTGGTGGACAACAGATTTTTGCCAAAGATTGGTGTGTAGTGTCTAGCTCTCTTCATAAATATGAAACTGGCTCATTCCTGCAGTGTTACAGGGGTATAATTATTTTTGGCATCTTTGTTGAAGTGTTATGATTTCCATATTCTGAGTTTAACACCTCTCTCCTTTAACCCTTTTGCTGCATTTCACGCGCTTGCCATTTTAGTCTGACTATTGCCAGACAATTTTATTCAGCTTAGGGTAACCTCCTGCAGCCAATGGGTTAAAGACACCATGTACAGTTACTCAAAAAACTATCTTTACAAAATTGTGTTGGGAAAATATGACACAATAGACGAAGGATTTTGACAACCCTACCAGTGTTCATTCTGAAATTCATTGAAGGCCCCCCCCCCCCCAAGTTCAGATAGTTATTTGGGTGACTACAAACAGCAGCTGACTTATCCCTCAATTTCACCCTCTGTCTTTGTCAATCAAACCTGCACCTCCCTCCATCTACTGTATTTTGCATTCACCTCTTACTACCCTATCCAAGAAAATATTGAACTACCTTGGTGAAAATACATCTATGCAATTTATTTATATAATTATTACAAGGAAGATAATGATAGTTCATCAGAACAGTAGCTGAAAAGATGGAAATTGTTTATCATGTTTTGATGTTATAAGTAACATAGTCTAACATGGTGTTAATGAGCATGAATGGCTGACTCTTAATCAAGGAGTTAAACATTTAGTTTCAAAATATTTATACAGGTATATACAGAATACATAGTGTACTGTACAGTATACAGAAACTCATATTTGCTTCAGAAGTTTGTATCTTATCAAAGAAGTAAGGATTGTAGCTGCCTGGGTAACTCATGTGCTTAGTTCATATTCTGCTGCCATTGTACAAAGTTGAACCCTTGCTCGCTGCTGTTTTTGCATACAATTTGTGTTGTAGAATACAGTCCAGGTGTTGACCGTTATATGATAAATCTATATATGATCATTCTGTTTTACGATGCTAAAAAATTAACACTATTTACTGCTATGCGATGGCCAAGATCAGTTTTATGATGATCACTACCCAAATGCTTTCCCTGCATTGTCACTGCTATGAAAATTAATGTGTAATATCTCGCAATATTCCAAGATATGAAAGATATGGTGACGCAATCTCAGAATGGCGTAGCACGTGCGACCCACACAGGATACGCTGGAGGCTCTGCCCATCCCCGGTGACTGGCAGCCTGAACATTTTAACTGTGTTACGTCACCCTAGGATGGTTTGCGTGTGGGAGAAGCTTTTCTTTGTAACATAATAATATACAGCATGCCCTTCAAATTCGCGGGGGTTGGGTTCTCAAAATGGCTGCGAATCGCCAAATCTGCAAATACCATTTGCTGACCGGGGGGGGGGGGGTATACATCTTTACTTGTGTACAGTACAAAGAAATGTATATTCCCTTTATGTGTTTGCCCTTAGGACAATTATTTCTTTTACCTGTAGTATTGTATATATGTATGTGTGTGTGTGTAGACACACACACACACACATCCTTGACCACCGAAGGGTCAAGACGTACCTGGCGCTCCTCTCGGAGCAGCCAGGTCAACTGTTAAGTTGGCCCATACCAACCCTCTCCCCTCAACCCTCCTCCCCACCGGAATATCAACAAGTTCTCGCCAGAAGTTACAATTTCATTTAGGAAAGGAACGGAACCAGTGTTAAACAGAGGTGAACAGTGGTGAACAGTGCTTAAGTCAGTGAGAACAACTCAACAGTAACAGTCATACCCAAGTTAACCTTCACACAGTGAGGTCCCAGGTACCCAGTGATAACAGCCCGTGAGACCCAACAACAACCAGCGATGTGTTAATCCGTCTACGATAGGAAGGCCTAAGACCAAACCTCACTCATATAACACCATCTGTGAGGGAATTACTACACCACATGTCCCTCATAACACCATATGTGAGGGAATTACTACACCACGTCAAGTCCCTCATAACACCATCTGTGAGGGAATTACTACACCACGTCAAGTCCCTCATAACACCATTGTGAGGGAATTACTACACCACGTGAGGTCCCTCATAACACCATCTGTGAGGGAATTACTACACCACGTCAGGCCCCTCATAACACCATCTGTGAGGGAATTACTACACCACGTGATGCCCCTCATAACACCATCTGTGAGGGATTACTACACCACGTGAGGCCCCTCATAACACCATCTGTGAGGTAATTACTACACCACGTAAGGTCCCTCATAACACCATCTGTGAGGTAATTACTACACCACGTGAGGTCCCTCATAACACCATCTGTGAGGGAATTACTACACCACATGAGGCCCCTCATAACACCATCTGTGAGGGAATTACTACACCACGTGAGGCCCCTCATAACACCATCTGCGAGGGAATTACTACACCACGCCAGGTCCCTCATAACACCATCTGAGGGAACTACTACACCACGTGAGTTCCTCCTAACACCATCTGGGAGGGAGTTACTACACTACGAGTTTGCTGTTCAACACCTACATTAATCTGTATGTTCACTGTATGTTCCTTTACCTTTCTCTAATGAAGGCTTTTGTTAAACCACCAATGTATGTAATAAGTCATTTATGTCCAATGTATATTTTCAGCCTTCGGGCTGCAGAATTTTTTCAATAAACCGTTAATTATTATTATTATTATTATTATTATTTTACAGAAAACACATACAGTGGGGTATGCTATAACGAATCTAATTGGTTCTAGAACCTTGTTCGTTATAGCATTCGTTCGTTATAGGATTAATCCGTTCCAGGCCCCCAAATACAACCACTTAACACTGAAAAATATAATATAAAATTGTAAAAATTGTAAAAATGTGCATAAATATGCATCTAAACCCCTGAAATAAAGAATATCATTAATATTTGTAATAAAAAAACAATAAATTAGAAAAGAAAAAAAATTAAATAATGTTCGTTGTAGGAGTTTCGTTCGTTATAGCATTCTCAATTTTATAGGTAAAACCGTTCGTTATAGCATACCCCACTGTACAAATAAATAATAATGGTAAAATCCTCTTACAAATAATCAGAAACAAATTTATTAAGAATGTGAGTCTACCCCTAAGTTAATGCATTATTAATAGCAAAGTACGGAGTGGACTTGAGGGTAGACTCAACATTTTTAATACATTTGTTTTTGATTATTTGTGAGAGGATTTTCCCATTATTATTTATTTTTATGTGTTTTGTGTGTGTGTGTGTATGTGTGTCTACACACACACTCATACATATATACAATACTACAGGTAAAAGAAATAATTGTCCTAAGGGCAACTTTAAAACTACCCACAGACATTCTTGGGTACATCCGGAATGTTATCCGCGAATAATAGAGGACTGCAAAATAAAAATCCGTGAATTATCCGGGTGTACTGTAAACTCTACCAATAAATGTGGGGAATAAATAATTGTATACAATAATATCTCCGTTGGCCGAAATCCCTCAAACCTTGAACTCTTAGGTAGCCGGAATTTTCCCAGTACCCGGAAAATTCCAGGAATGGGGGAGTTTTTTTCCGGGTTTGAGAGATGAAAATCAGGTACAATTTCCAGCACCCTGAAAATTCCGAGATGGGGGTATTTTTCCGGGTTCAAGAGATGATGTAATGCAAAATTTCTGGAACTTCCAAGAATATATTTCCTGTTACAGGTACCTGGTAAATTCTGGGGATGAGGGATTTTTTTCCAGCTTTGAGAGATGAAGTAATGCATCAATCTGGAACTTCCGAGAACAAATTTTCCATTATCCGGAAAATTTCGGGGATGAAAGATTTTTTCCCGTCTTTCAGAGAGTCGTCTCATTACAGTACCCGGAAATCTCTCATTCCCAGAAGTGCTCTACATCAATTGTTCTGGCTAATGGCAATATCACTGTACAGTATCTTCGTTAGCCGAATCCCTCTTAACCAGAACTATCCAATACCTGGAAATTAAATTTGCTCGGAATTTTTCCGGAAAAATCTCTCAATTCCGGTTTTGGGAACAAATTCCAAGGTTTAAAATAATTCTGGAAAAAACATATAAAGATTCTGTAAAAAAATTATTTCAGGGCTTCTTCATTCTCATCCTAAATTTAGCACGAAGAAAACTACCACTGTCGGTAGTTTCAAGAATTATCGCAGTCATTTACTGAATATTCTTTGTAAAAAATTAATTTTAAATGAATTATTTATAGGAGACAAGTATTATGATCAGTAAATATACGGTACCGGTATGCATTACTGGCCACTTCGGACACAAAGACGGGCTAAAAATAGCCCTACCTCCCCCTCTTACAGCTGACAATGGGAAGCATCTTGGTAATTAAATTTTGTTTGTTTATTTTCAATGTTTGTCTAATTTATCATGTTGTATCAAATTAATATTACTAAAAGTTGTGTAGGTAGTAGGCAGCCACCAAACAGGGAGACACTACCCCCTGGGAAGATATTGAAAGCACAGTCTACCATTAGACTCTAATGGTA